GATCGTCTCATGGAATCCTTCTTGAAGGAGCACCCGCTCAACGCTGACAGCTGCGACTCGGAGGACGATTGGACCTCCATGCACTGGCAAATCACGTCCATCACGTCTTCAACAAAAAAGAAAGAGAGGGAGAACGGCAGCGAGAGGTACAGAGCGGCGGATTCGAAGGAACACATAACGGCCAGTGCGTTTCACCTTTTCATGAAGCGCCGCGCACGACTTGATGACAATTTTGTTATTACTCCCTACTCGGTTGCCGATGTGCCCTTGCTATGTTCTCAGACATTTCTTTATTTGATTATTTTCCAACCGGCAACACAACTTGCCGTACCAACTAGCCAACAGACAATACTATGTGTGGAGCTACGATGACACAATACATCACACACACCCTCTGCACCGATTTTCAGACCTTTGCATACGACTAGACGACGAGATTATTCCGTGAAGAAATCGAGCTTAGACAATCACTCTTAGGGGGAATGTGATATCTTGTGTCACCAAAGGCTACGTATCCTTCATGTTGTGCGTTAAACCGTAGAAACCGACATACGCCTGTCATGTGCATACCTCATCTGACAATCGGGCCTACGGGTCGGCGTACGCAGCCATCAGCGAGATAACATGAGAGCGCAATCCACCAATTTCTTCTTTACTTCAGACTTGAATGCTCGATTACTCCACTGCGAACAGGATGCCACTGTAAATACTGGTATGAGATGGCAGCAGCATGTGTCGGCAATGCCGTGGTGCTCCACAGCGAAAAGGACTACCACGGTCGAGTACCTAGGACATAGCCGCCGCGTGTCTGTGTCCTGTGGCTTGCACAATATACTACACCCCCCTGGACCGATTTTCAAAGCTCGAATACGACACGAAAACAGGACGTCAAAAACCAAACCCTTGAACGCGCGAGTTGGAAAGCCGCCACGTGTCTGTATACCGTGGCTTGCGTGAGATACCTACATTCCCTGGACCGCCTTTCAAAGCTCGATTACTCCACGAACGAGAAGTAAGCCACAATCAAATCCTACACTTGCGGTAGATAGCTGCCACGTGTCTGTATACCGTGGATTGCACAAGATACCACAATGCCCCACTGCTCCACTGCGAAGAGGATGCTACAGCAACTCTCGCGTGTTCGGGAAGCTCTCGACGAGACAGCTACGGCGTAGCATGCATCTCAGCACCGTCACTAGTGCTGCTGCGGAGTAATCGAGCTTTGGAAGTCGATCCAGGGTGTTTGAAAAATAGGAACACCCAACAAAAAAAAAAACAGACGGCACAACGCTAATGGCCGGGACCGGCTATTCGATCTTCTGCTGCTGCCTGAAGCAGTTTCGACAAACGACGCAACCTCATCGTGACCACACTACGGACCCGAGACCTTCTATTCACAAAGACCAGCAGGCCGGCGTCACAAAGACCAGCAGGCCGGCGGGCGTACGCAACTCGCAGGCGCAAGCAACAGGGTTGTTGTTGTTCAGACGGCAGTATCGAGCACGGTGGTTGGGGGGGACTACAGCCTTTTGTCCCCGCGTAAAATCGACCATGTTCGCGTCGTCTGCCGCACCGCATGCGGTCATGCCGACACAAATGCTGCTACCATGCAGCAAGCAGGCCCTCAGCACACGTACATACAGATGCCGGTCTGTCAATAAAACACCGACCTCACTCAAACAGCGGCTGCTCGAATGAAATGGGAGGAGGAGGAGGAGGCGACTCCAGCAAGACTGAACAACACATCGGACAGCCTATCCAGTCAGGCGAAATCGAAACATGTGGAATTTGCTCCAAATGGCCCCATCAGGTCATACGCGTATTACATAACAGTAGATCGAACCTGTGTCAAAGGAAACGCCCCCAACTTAATGTGTGTGGTCAAACAAACAAAACCAAACAAAACCAAGAAAAACATCCCGCACGCAACGCGGGAAAAAGAAAAAAATGCGGATATTATGCATACGAAAACAGACAAAAAAAATGAGGTCGTACTCGAAAAAAGAAGAAAAAAAAAAATCTCACCGCAAAGACTTGGATCGGGCTGGTCGATTGTCTCCGTGCCCTTTGGCGGCTGGACCGGGAATACGAGCTGTGCCGATAGGGTCCTCCTTTTTCGGTTATTTTCCCAGTAGGCCATGCGCATCCCCGTGCGCTCCCCGCCGCCCCCGCTGCCGGTACCCCCCCCCCC